AAAGTAAAAATTAAAAAAAAATATTTCTAGCTTTCTTCAAAAACTTGTATCTTAAGATCTTTTCTCAATAAGAAATGCTTGATTGATATATCTTTTCTTTTCTTGATCATCTAAGAAACTTATTCATTTTTGATCTTGATTTTCTTCTTGTGTATTATCTAAGAAAACTTATCATCTAGTGGGAACCTTTATTTTCAGGATATACTTGATCCCAATCTTCTTTGAGCAGTGATTTTTTATTCACCTATAGTAAATGAGTGATTCATAATAGATCACAGATTCTTATATGATCTAATAAAGACTAGGTCATATTGTTTCAGTATAATATCTTTCAGCAGCCATGTCTAATTAAAAAAATTTTACTGATATATATCTTTCATTGCTCAAAAAGTCATTTCTCAAAGATTTTTTTGCTTTACAATAGTGGGAAAGTACCAAAAGAGCAGTGGAGATCCTTGTTGATTGTGATATTCTTTAATAACTTTTGAGGAAATGCATCCTTAACTATAACCAAAGGGTTGAAGCTTAACATGAACTAAAGACCATTTGGTTTTATTGTTTGACTAGAATAAAAAGGAGATCTTGGTCTTGAACTTTTTCTAACTAGAATAATAGGAGAGAAAGACCTTAGCTTGAAAAAATAGTAGCTTTTTCATTACCTGGGGACTTGTTGCTCATATCTTATTGATCTTATGGAACTTGATCTATAGGTTAATCTAATTGATGAAGTGAGGGGAACACGGGGTATCAATCAACTCTTTCAATTACCAATAATATTATTAGAACATGTGAGGTGATCAATAAGTGCTTGTTTACATTCAGTTACTAACGTGTTTTGTGTTAACCAATCAGATACCAGGTAACATTGTATTACCAGAAATTTAGGGTTAAACTGAGATAGGCAAAATTCCTTAAAAAAAACTGTAAAAAACAGTAGATACTTTAAGAAGGTACAAGATAGTATATGAAGATGTGGATAGTAAGCCTTCTCTTATCAATAAAACCTCTATTTTGTCACTTTTAGCTCTGTAAGGAGACACTCCATTTATCAATTCTTTTACTTTTTAGAACCTTCTTGCTCTTAATAAAGAAAGTGCATACTTGAGTCTTTTCAGGTTACTAGAGATTCATGTTTTTATTCAAAAAAGTTTATAAATAAGTAAGTAAGAATAGGAAAGATATGTGAAGACAAGTTTCAAGTTGTTTTAATGAAAGTAGAAAGACTTTATTAGCAAAGAAATATAAAACTTCTTGTAAACATATTTTTTATATATAGCCAAAGAATCAGTGAAAAGAGTTTTTTGTTTGTTACTCATTTTTTTTGTTTAATTATATAATTTTATTATATATATAATAATAAGTTTTTAAAGTATTTAGTATATAAAATTATATAGATTACTTATATTTTTTTTTGAAAACCAAAATTCACAACTCAACTCTTTACTTTAATAGAGACAAAATTTAGAAATCATTATGAATTAAGGATTTAGATTATAGAAAATCATTTTGAATAATTTTTATAGTTATTAATTTAAATATTTTAATATCTTTTAGTGAGAAATATTTTTATTTATTCTTATTTTTCTTATTTAGAAACCTATCTTTAATTCTCTATATAATTATAATTAATAAATTCAATAAATTGAATCTTTATTAATTTTTAAAAATAAATAAATAAATAAAATAGAATTGTATAATCAAAAAATAAAAAAAATTAAATATAAATTAATAATAACACTTATAAAGCTCGATATAAAAAAGTTTATCAGTTAAATATATATAATATATATTTTTTAAAAATTTATAAAAAATTTTTTAGATATACAGTATATTATATGCATATTCATTAATTGTTTAATAAAACATATATAACGAACCTGATAGAAAATAAAATATAAAATGAGATAAAATAAATTAAAATAATGAGAAATAGATTATTAATTTTAACAATATTAAGAATTAAAAAATTGAATTTTCAAATGAAATAATAAAATGTCTGTTAGATTATTTGATTTTTAAGTAAAAGATAAAAATGGTTTGAAACAAAAAATTTAAAATAATTAATCAAAAAAAAATTTTTTTAACAAAAAAAAAGAAAAAATATTAAAATATAGATATCAATATCAACAAGTAAAGTAAATTAAATCAGATTTTTAAAATAAGTTAAAATATTTTAAACTTTTGTATAAAACTTTCAAATAAAAAATTATTATAAAAAAGATAAATTTCAAATATTAAAAAAAAATTTTTTTTTAAAAAAAAAATTGAGGAATAAATTAATAAAATATGAAAAAAGATTTTTGATTACTTTAAAATATATGCATAGGATTTTAGATATAACAAAAAAAAAAAAAAAAAGATTAAACGTTTAATATAAAAATAAAATCAAAAAAGTTTAAGTTAAATGCTTCGATTTAAATATTATTGACTTTTAAAATTAATTAATTGATCTTTGACAATAATTGAAATCAAGTTAGAATAAAGATAAATAAATGTAAGAATAATTAAGACAATTCAAATCTAGATATTAAGTAATAGGATTTTAATCCGGATCAAAATTTTTGTGAAGAATCTGCAATAATAACTTGCAAGCAATAATACTGTATATACAATTGAAAAAACATTAAAAGTAATAAATTATTTTCAAAATTGTAGATAAAGTAATAAGTTATCAAAAATACAGTATATACGTAAGTATGTACTGTGCAGTTTATCATTGTTCAGTAAAGAATACAAAGTTAATCTGATGACGAAAAAAAGTTTTGAAATATTGTTATCGTTAAAATATAAAGTTTTAAACAAATGTTTCTCTAAAAGGAATAATTAAAGAATTTATAGGAAAATGGCAAAAGATTAATCATAATCAGAAAAAATATATTTTTGCAGTAAAAAAGTAATCCTATGATCGTTAATTCTTCATCACATATTGTATTTCTTTAATAAATTTTTATTTTTATTTTTACTTTTAAAAAAAAAAAATAATAATACTTTGATTAGCCAATGTTCGTCACAGTATAATCTGCAAGGTCGTAAGCTACAGTAAGTGATTAAAGAGAAATCTTGAATCACTTGAAAAACGAAAAATCACTCTTGAGAATGCGAAATTAAAAATCCAATAAATGCATCATATGAAAAGTAAAAAAATTTTTGAATATGAGAAAGAAAAAAAAACCCGAAAAAGGGAATTAAAAAATTTTTTTCTTTTTTTTTTTTTTTTTTTTTTTGATCGAATTCAAAGCATATGAAAATGCTGTATGATCATATATTGTTTGGTCGCACGAATTTTGTTTGTTTACGTGACGCGCAAATATACCATTTCGAAATTTCGAAAAAAAAAAGTGCCTGCAAGCTCTTGCGCCTTGATGATTAATTAAGAAAAAAAAAAACATTACGGAGTGCAATGTTTCGACTGTTGATTGTATGAATAAGTTTATGCCTATTAAAGTATAAAAAAAAACAAAACAAATTTCTTCGGAATTGTAATGAATTTCTGTTAAAGTAGGGGGTACAAAGTGAACTCCGTTTGAGATCCCATCTCCATTTTAATCACGAGATCTCCGGTTTTCCATAACAGACAGACCGTCAATCAACAATGATGCAGTAGATAGAATGTACTGGATATCTTTCATTTTCTTAGACCCAGGAATCTCCGCGCCAAATAAAAAATCACCTGCCGTAATGAGATCACTTCTTTGAATTGTCGTGCTCTTCCGTACTCCTGGTTAGATTGTTGAATGAATATAACGGAGATTTCCGTAAGGTCGTGAAGGCGATGGGACACTCGGCTCGCGAATGTCGCAGAGAGTAAGCAATTTTCTTATGGATGACAAGGCTTTTAAAGTACATAAATTGTAGCAATGTTAATTCTACCTCCTACATTAGATGGTCGTCCGAGTTGACATTTGAGTGAGTAGCATTTATAATTGGTATGTGGGGATCACCTGTGCTTAGCCCCCATCCCCCATATTTTGATGGCGAACTTTCCGGTGAGGTCGATGAGGCTAAGATCACGAATAGAACCTCGTCTCAAATTTTTGGCACAATAATGAATTAAAGAATCTCTCGATATTGCTTTCACGGGAAACGAAGGTTTTCAACCTCCTCTAAAGATCATCCCAAGGATCGATCGTGATTCGTAAATTCTACATCTTCGCTTCACACGTTTATACATCATTGCGCATCATTCTCCATCGCTCAATCGATCTTTTATTCATGTTATTAATAATCGCATTTTTAAAGTAGTGCTCAATCGCGCACATGTGCATGCAACTTTCTTTATTTCAAACTTTTAAGGAGATAATGAATTCCTTCTCGGATAATCGAAATTGCGATTTTAATACTCAAATTCGGAGTCACGACTTCTTATTATGTAAACATGCGGACGTTCTTGTTTTCTCTGAGCGCTCGCGTCTATCTCGGATTACCGTCACACGGATTTCTGTCACCCACAAAAATTACGCAATTGAAATGCATCGTGATGCATTATCCAAAAATGCCATTAAGTGTTGAACCCCTTGCAACAGCCATCGATCTATATTGCTAGTTAAACAATAAAATAAAAACCATTACTAATTAAATATGCATGAGGTAGCAAATCAATCCGCCCAAACCCTTTGAGAAAATGCTTAATCAGTCATTAAATATGTATATACTGTATATATACTGACTGTCTCAGGGGGTTTGCATTTGATTATTACAGAGGGCATTGGGCTGACTATGCAAGGTACCATCCAGTTTACAGCGCGTACAATGTGTTTTAGAAGACATTATCGAACCCGGTATAATGTCAATGGTCAACGCGATATTGCATGCCTTGCATTATTTCTTTATGCAGGGTTCATGGGATTATTTTTATTAAGTAGATTTGAAAATATAGTGAATTAATGTAAATACTTTTAACGGTGGTTACGTCTTAATGCTTTTTCTTATGGCGTCAGGGTTCTCTGTTGAGAATAAAGTGGATCGTCATCTTCTCATTTCGCTCACTGAAAAAAAAAAAAAGAATGTTGTGGGTCGTTGCGACGGCCAACCTGTGTGATGTGTGAACTTTAATTGTTATCATACCTCTGATTTGGATGACACGCTTTCAACAAAGGGGCATCAACAATCGGGGATGACCTAGTAGTGGCTATATGGGGAAACATGAAACTGCTTAATCTCCTTGCCAAAATTGCTCTCTGAAAGGTACATTAAAATCGTCGTCACACCTCCGCCGATTCTTAACTCCTTCCTTTTATTGTTGTTACAAAAGTTTTTTATCATTAGACCGGTGCATCCACTCATGGTTTCGGCTATTTCGACCCATTTTGGACCTACTCTCTGCAACATCCTGGCTATGTGGATGCCTTCTCGATATGTAAATTTACGTTTCATTACTATATTTTAATTTTGCGAGTGTTAGTATTTTTGCACCGTTGGCATTCTTTTGCGAGGTAAGACGTTGTAAACTTACTGGACGGTCGAAGGTGGTTTTTATACCTGGTCATTTTTTTTTTTTTTCGTGATAATTATTTCAGGAATTCGTGAGAGTGAATGATAACAAGTGATGAAACACCAACCTTTCTCGGCATTGCTTGGACGTACGATTTCCTATCTCTGTCGAGATCCTTTTCCAATTCTCTCCGTACTTCTCAACCAAATGTTCTAATAAATCGCTGTCCTGCGTTCAGATGGAGAAGGAAAGATTAGGTTTACTTCCGTCCACGTTGAACACTGGCAATTTCGATTCATCGTTTATTACACACATGCTTTGGCCACCTCCCCTTTTTTGGCTCCGGTGTCCCTGTTGGCTCAATCATCGAATAGTGACGTGTGTGTGAGGTGTGTGTGTGGGGTGTGTGTTGTGTTGCGTGTGTTGTGTGTTGTGTGTGTTGTGTGTGTTGTGTGTGTGTGTAGAATTATTATGGAAGAGATTGGAGAGAAAGGAGCTGAAGAGCTAATTAATTCAATCTGTTTCAGGCGCTTCTAAAGACCGAGACATTAAATTTTTGAAAGGAGGAGGGAGGTTTAAATGTATAAATGGCACGTTCCAAGGCACGGGTTAACTGAATAATATTAGAATAGCGCTAATTTGGTTCAAGATCACAAAAAAGAAACCTAAAAAGAAAAGTGACTACTGATTGTAAATAAGAAAATTAACGCATATCTGCAAATCGCTTGTGATTTTATCGCATTTTATATAAGATCAAAAAAAGTTTTGCCTCGGACGTTTTAACTATTTGGTAAAAATAACATTGTTTAATTGCAAAGGATCGACTGTAATAAGGCTAACACGCAATACTCTGTATCGTACTGTGTGTTAGAAGTGAATTGTTGAGCGTTATTGGATGAACATGATGAGAGGCGCATGCGCATTGGTGTGTAGTCTAATTACGTAGGCCTTCGTCGGCATCTTCTGGAACAAAAACTCCGTTCCGCATGAATTTGACAACTCCAAAGAAAGAAAGAAGGTCCAGATTAATTCATTGGACGATTCAAAATCATTCGATTTTAAGGGCATTCCCGAGTTCTAGAACGAGTTTTTAACTTTCTTGCAGAAATAATAATTGCATTTATTTACCAATTCGTTTTTCTAGATGACGAAATGTTTGTGCAGGGAACGTATCAGGATGCATCGAATCCTAAGAACCGGGCACCTTGAAAGAAAGTTTCGTGGCCACCATCTCATCCGCAGCAGTCACAATAACAAAGAACTGACTGAAACCCGGTTAACGGCTGCTTTCATCATACCCATTAAACTTCACATCTACCTAATTCGATCTACTTTATACATGTTGAAAGATTCGGTGGGTGGGTGGGTGGGGGGGAAGAGTTTGTTTGTAATAGGTTTTCCAGATACGGAAGTTTGTTAATCAAAGTGCTTGCCTCAATATACTTTATATACAATATTCACAGTATATATACATTAAATTTTGACACCTCATATAACTGACAATCGATTTTCGGCCGTTATTTCTTCTTTCAAAATGGACAATATCAAATTACCTGATACAATTCTTGGTGTGCATTCCGTTTCGGTTAGAATGATTTTTCATCGACTAGTCCGAGATAGCACGCGATACTTTATGAAATTAAAGGACATGATTGTGCGCGGTAAATGAACCTTATTCAACACAACAGACCCGTGGTGCGCGCATTCCATTAACAATTGAGTTGTTCATAAGAAATTTCGACCATCAACAATCCCGATTGGCACCGGGCGAGTACATGAATTATGAAATGTAAAAAAAAAAAAAAAAACAAAAAAATTCTTCGAAAGTCGGAATCCTTCTTAAAAATTACATCTGATGTGCCATCACTCCTCCTCGATTATTGTCACCCTCCAGTATATACTCATAATGGCGTGATGGAGACTAACCACATTTCAGTTTTCGTCAATGATATTTGTTTGTGCTCACCCTCTTGAGGAGGCATTTCGCGCACATGAAGAACTTTGTGGTTAGATACTGTACACATACAGTATATACAGCATATGTACACAACTTGCTCTTCTGGAGATGATGGTAATTTTCGCGTCTTAAAAACGAAATGCTAATTTGTCATACCCATCAGTCAATTAATCGTCACTTGTCACCTAAATAAACCACTATGATTCCTTAAGACGTCTATAGGAATGAATTTGGAAATCCATGAAAGGTTTGTGATGTGTCCGGGATTAATATGTGATATGGCGTTCACGCTGGCTAGTCGCCAAGCACTGCTTACCATCAGACGCCAACGGGGGATGACTTTCTGCATTAAAAAAAAAAGAAAAAAGAAAAGAAAAAAAAAAAAAAAATTGTCACATGCAACCAGAGTTCATGTACGACATGAAAATAAAAGAAAATGTTACACATCACGTGTAAATAAATCATATAAAACCTCCCTTCCACAACTCAATGATACAATCCCAAAATATAACAAAATTTTCACCAAATTTTAACCATAGGTTGAGCACAATTCTCACCATAAGCCCTATCTATTACAAAACAAAACATATCCTCATGAATAGACATTCTGGACGATGGACTTCCCAAGTAAGACAGCCGACTTCTCTCGAGTCGTGATGACAAACTACAGTATATGCTACACATTTTACCGTCCCCTTTCTTTTTTAGGAGAGAGCTTTGTTAGAGGACTTGGTGAGAATACACCAAACGAATTGGAACGAAATCGCGAGGCATTTTCCCACACGTAGTGCTCGTCAGATAAGAGAACAGTAAGCATATTTTGTTTATTTTCGATTCTCGGGTCTGAGCATATACTCAATTGCCACTCGAAAATTTCGCGTCGTCTTCTTCTCCAGCTACCAGAATCACCAGGATCCCCAAAGTCTGTATTGGTGCCCAAACGGAGTCGTTGTGCGTATGCAAGGTTTTTTACTAATTTTTCCAACACAATTATAGTCGACAGACGAAGAATAACGCCCGAAGAGTCTAAGTTGATCCTGGATTTCTACGAGCTATTTGGACCCCAATGGACCACAATTGCCTCTTGCATGTCCGAAAGGTTTACCGGTGTCATGATAAGGAACCATTGGAATAATTACCAGAGGAGGTTACGCCGGAATAACATTAGAAATGCCGGTCATCATCGTGGTGCGTCTTCTTGTTTTCTTGCATTCAAGTGAGATTAGAGAAAGGGCCGGTGAGATGGTGAAATACTAATCATGTTTACGTGCCTTCTAGATGAAGAAATCAATCAAAGGTTGGTTGCCTGAGGAATTTCTCTTCTTTGTTCTGTCAACGCTGACTTTAAATAAACCCGACTTTTCTCGTAACGCTAATTGGCCCAGTCAAAACAACACACCTCAAAACGGTGACGACAACGATACCTACAATCGAATATCATCCGCTATGTCGATAAGTCGGTTGATAAATCAAGAAAATTTCTCAGCACATTGATTGTCGGGGATCATGTGTTGTTACTGTTGATTTTACAAAAGGGATCTTTCATATTAGCTTCCTTCCCACGGGAATGACCTTTCCGACACGTCCGCATAGGTTTCAGAAAGAAAGACACTCGGCCGTCACCTTTCACGTATTGTGGATCGCGGAGTGAAGGACGGCGATGGGGCATTACATAAAAACCGTTGGATCAGGTCAGAATATGTTTGGCACCACCGTCTATTCCATGATAGATGGATAGATAGGTTAATCACTTCGAGAAACGGGTTCATTCTCGTGGAAAGAAGATCATGTCTGTGCGAATTCTTTATTTAATCAATGGATGCGGGAACTTCCATAGACTTTTTTTTCTCATTTTTAATGGCTTAATATAATTTATTAATAATGACATTATCATACTACTACTATGGTATATGATTTTTCTTTTAAAATTAAATTGTAGATTATTATTAGTACAAGAAATAATATGCAGTGTGTACAGTAAATAAGATAATAAATGACAAATATACAGTACGCATATCGTATCATATCGCATATACATTAGTTTGTTGTTTTATGTTATCTGAATCCTATTAAATTTTGCACCAATTTATACATACCCGTACACATACAGTATTTAATTCAATGAATGAATAAATTATTATTTCAATTAAAAAATTTTTTTTTATTTTAAGTTTGAATTGCAAATTATCTAACAAATTTAGAAGCACTTTTACTTTTTTTTTTTTTTTTTTTTTTTTTTTACTCGTTTTGTTCAGATCGAAAAACATAGAAAACCTATTTGTTTATTTTTTGCAATAAACTAAAGTGTAAATTTCTCATAGATTATAAAGTATGCAAATATTTTACATCGTGTATTATAAAAAAAAAAAACACAAAAAAAAAAAAAATTTTTTTTTTTTATGTCAATATTTGTTTTATTAAATATTCTCACACCCTCGTCATTCCAGCAAACCAACCATTCCTTGTTTAACGTGAAATCTGGGCAACCCAAAGAATATAATTGTAATTTTCGACTAACCATTTTCTCAATCGAAAAATGGCTGCAGGTGACCTCATGATTCTTTTGTAGAAAATGAAACATCGACACAAGATACTGTACGACCGATAAATTTCAAGGATCACACTTCCTCAATATACCCAATTTTATTTCTCTTCGTTTGTATTTGCATGGGGAGAACTTTCTAAACAAGCTACTTTAATGACGCCCCAAGAAAAACAAAACAATAAATTTTTATTTATTACGCCTTCCAAACAAATAAGCATCGCACGAATTATTTCGTTGTTCCACAACCATCGAGATCATTACATGAGGAGTTATTACATCAACCGAGTAAATTGAACACTGTTGCAACACAAGAAACTTTTTGCTCATGTGCCTGAACAATGCATGCACTTTTTTGTCATTGAAATTAATTGACGTGTCACGAAAAAACCCTCGAGAGTGATTCGATACCTCAAAACAGGATATATCAATTTTCAGATGATCCCGGCGTTTCCTGTGCCCGTTTATCTTTAACTTTTTATAGCTCAATTAATTCATTCATCCACATAACTCTTGGCTCGCCACCATTCACTCGATATGCCTTTCCTAATAAATCCCGTCAATGCATATTAGAATTTCCATTTTGGAAGCTACCTTACACCGTTACAATTCATGAGTGAAGTCATTTGCGTTTACTTCTTGGTGCGTTATAAATAGGACGGTGGCAAGAGTTGACATCGGATCATTGATTGATCACCTTCACAAGACTTAATGTACCTGAGAACCCTAAACCACTCCACGGTCCCTATCGAATACACCGAAACTCATTCCACAATCCCTACCGAATACACCGAAAAGATGAAAACATGTCTCAAAAAAAACCGTCGATGGACAAAAGAAGTATTAACTATATTGCTTCGATTGTTCCTTTTATTAGCGCATGTACGATACCGGGATAACAATAATCCTTTCATCTTTTAACTTGAATCTCACAGGATGAGGAGAGATTGCAAGAAATTATTGCACAAGAGCGCGCCAACAAGAGTGAGAACGACAAGATGGATTGGGGGTATATTTCCGAAAAGTTTGGTGACAGCAAGAAAGTCAAATCATTGCAAGAGAAGTGAGTTTGCCATCAAATGAGCCATTCATGACACTTGATGTGCAGGTTGCTAACCACGTTCCTTTCTTTCCTTCTTTCCTTTCTTTCCTTCCTTCCTTCTTTCATAAAGGTATAGAAATTATCTGAAAAAAAGAAGGTGTGCGTAATTTTAAAGACGATAATTGATTATACACGCCAAACACGTGCCTTACGCACCATACATGCATGCACCATGTGTTGATAATTTGGTTCGCAGTGTGGCTTCCGTTTGGAAATGGAAGAAGACGATTCCCCTTCACCCCCGAACACGTCGACATAATAATGGAAGAAAAATTGAATAATCCGAAAGTCGGTTGGCGTGAGATAGCCGATATGATCAACAAGCTGGAAAATCCTTTTCGTGTCAAGTGCACGCCAAATCAGGTCAAAAATAAATTTCACTGCGTGTCCAAAAGATTCGGTAGGTCATCTCGCTTCCGATATACTGTATATACTCTACATACGTACAGTACTTTATATACAGTATATACTGTATTTTGGGTAGCACCATCGATTTAAAAATCACTGATTGCAAAAATCAAAACCGAATCAGGCGCACGACATCGAATGAAAATTGCCTTCCTGATCAACCGCGAGCACGCATAAACGCAGCGGAACTCCTGGAGAGTTCCTTCGTGCCTTACTCTTGTTACTCTTTATCTTTCACGTTTTGCACCCTCACCTTTGTTTCCTTTTATATTTTATGTCTTGTCTTGCACTCATACCTTCAATTCTTTTTAATCTTTCACGCATTACTCTCATGCAAAGCATCCAATTAGATTTATCTATTCACTCGAACAAAACCTACCAACTTTCTTAATCCCTTAATATAATTAGCATATATTACATCATGCCCTTTGCACATTCGCTTTTTTCGCATACCTCATAGACCCAGGGCTCTCATATAATGTCGATGCAAAGAGCACAATCGTCATCGTTCATAAAGTTAGACACAAAAGTTCATGTTCTTCACCGATAGATGCAAAGTACCTTCACACACATCATAGATACTTGAAATATTTGCAAAAGATAATAAACTTTCGTCTTTACCTCGACGTAATATACTCGGCGTTTATTAATTAATCTAAGTAAAGTACCCTGTATGGTAGCGGAATAATCTATTATTGACCGATTAGATAAGACAATGGAAGTTAATCCTGCACTGTTCTCCCCTTTTTATGAAATACAGATGATTGTGCTTCATAGAAAACCTATTAAAAATAGGCAGCCATGTTTTTCCGTTATCATTGCATCCTGGGAGATTCAATTTTGATCTCGCATTCTTCACAAAGTTGGAGTTATTGCGTGCGTGACACATGCCGGATTAATCATCCTAATCACAACAGATCGACTCGACTTCTCAGTAACGACGCTTTAAGGCAAAATGGTTAATGCGTTCGTTGAGACACGATTTCTCGTTTGTCGTGAGGCCAGATGATACGTCGTTTTCGATGTCGAACGTTTTATACATTGGCAATAATGGAATGGATTATCAATTTCGTAATTCGATAATGTGATAATTTCTTTGTGTAAAAAATAAAAAAAGAAAAAAGAAAAGAAAAATTATTTTCCTAATACGAGAGTTTTGGCATAAACACAACACAGGTGAAAGAAACTACTGTAGCATTACAGTAAATAAAAATATGCATGCACTCTTGAGGAATTTGTGAGGGTTTCCAAATTAGGTGATATGCATAACCTGACTGCATAAGTTATGCATAATTCGCACACACCACTCATGTTTGCATTGGAAAATAATTTTTTTTTTTGTTTACAATTAAAGCTGTTTCATCACTTGACCTAGTGGCATCCTTTCAAACTTGCGGATTTGGGTTAGGGCGGAAGAAAGGCTCAAATAAAAAGGAGTATCCTGGTTGGAAGTTCTATTATTTTCACGTTACCGAATGGTCAATAGTGTGACCAAACTGCTGTCACCGTTGGAAGAAAGCTCGCTCATCTCAGAATCACATACACGAATGTCCTCGACGTAACGATTAATTGAACCGTGTTGGATGCGGTCACCATAAGATTAAACATGGGGAAGTCATCTATTCGGTTTAGGAAATTTTCAACATGTAATAAGTGGCATGTGCATCCGTAGGAAAAAAAAACAAAACGCCTAGAATGGATACAAATGAAGCAACATTTTTATTCATTAATCATCTTTCATGGCACACCATTCTTGGCAGCTCGAGGAGACGGTCAATGCGCGCGAGGTTAGAATCCAATTAGCGGGCATGAAAACAAAACATCGGTATAAATAAATGGCCATCATCTGCAAGAAATCATTTTCTTCCCTACAAACTTTTTTACAAGAGATGAGTCAAAATGGTTCAACTAAAAAAGGTCCATGGTCAAAGGAGGTATGATGATTTATTATAATAGTGTGTCTCGTTGCTCAACTCACTAACCGGTTACTTAAAAACAAAAGGAGGATGAAAGGCTCATAATAATTGTTAAAGAAATCAAAAAAGATTCGCCAACAAAGATTTCTTGGAAGACTGTCGGCAACAGAATGGGAACACGAGATGGGAAACAATGTGGAGAAAGGTGAACTCGCTTTTATTCACTATTCTTATTTCACAATTCCATCACCGGTTGTTTCTTATATTAACTTTCTCGGAACCGTATTGACTTGGTAGGTGGCGCAATCACCTAGATGATTCAAGTAAGCCTTTGCCTACATGATGACAAACGTGAAACAATAAACTAACGTTTTCTCTCCTTATTGGTCCATCCGCGTCCATCAGTCGATAAGTCGGAACTTACCGAGGATGAAAAGTCCAAGATCCGTCGGCTTCGTGCCGCAGGATGGAAATATTCTAAGATATCTCGTCAGCTCCCTACACGTCGATCTCCTTTGACAATCAAAAATCTTACCTACCAAAAGGAAAAGCGACAAAGAGTATCTAATAGGATGACCATCGAATTTTTATGTCTGATTAACGGTGACTCATCTGAACACAACCCAAGACCGACCGTCGAGAGGGAAAGCAAAAGGATTAAAATTGAAGATTTATTATCAAACGATAATAACTACTTACATCAAAACTAAATATCAAAATCACCCCGTACACGTTAAAATTTCATCATTTTAAGCCGAGTCCAGGTGGTCGGGCACTCCGGACCTTTCGCAAACATCTTAATACATTTTTTATTATAATTTTTTGGTTTTCAACTTTGAATTCTTTCCTTTTTTTTTTTTTTTTTTCTAATTAAAAAAAGACAATTTATTTTTCGAATACAAATTTTCATCCCAAATTTCATCACCTTATAAACTTCATATTCCACGTAATATCCGTATCGGACATTATATACAGTATAGAGTAATTTGTTAAATAAATTATACTCAACATGCGAACTTTTTTTTTTTTTTCTTTTTACTTTTCGTTCGTTATACCATTACATTTTATAAAACGCCATCGTAATTTTACTTTATTCTCGGATTTTATTATTTCTATTATTTTTATTTCCGAAATTTTTAATATTTAATTAATATTTTTTTACAATAAATATATTGTACACTGACTAAATGCGCTCCCCTCGGGACTGACGATGAGGGGTGCATACTGTATATGGCGATCAGAGTTAGTCTAAAGTTAAGCAAAATTATGTGAAATTATGTATGAGTTGGATAAGATTAAGGGAAATCAATTTGTTAGGCAAAATTAAGTGTCAGTTAGATAAAACTAAAGAGGAATTAGTTGTTAGAAAAATCAAGTCGGATGGAATAAATCAAGCAAAATTAATTTAATATCGCTGTATGAATAGACTGTATGCACTGTACTTATAGAGAATAGTTTTCATATCTGAATTTAAAATTATTTCATATGTACAAAATAAAGAAAAATATACGTGAAATAAAACTATAATATGCATACAAAAAATATATATACTGTATTTATAAAAGATACTGTATATATTTACAATAATTAAAATTGAATTTTGTAAAAAGTAATGATTTCAAGAAATAGAAAAATACAATAAAGTAATTATAATTCAATCGATATGTTTTTATTCAATATTTTTATTTTAATAAAATAAAAATTTAACAATTATCAGTTTATAATGTTAAATAAGAATTCTTTATGATTTTTAAATAAAGGTTCTTGATTCAAATCTATTATAAAATAGCTTTAAATTATTTTTTTTTCTAATTACAATCTTTGAATTTTAAAAAAATTTATATTCAAATCTCTATTCTTTTTCTCTTTTAATTAACTATATAAAATAAAACTTTAATTTATCATCAATCAAATATCAAAACTAATAATTATACTGTATATAGTTTTAATTCAAAAAATTATATAAATAAATTAAAGATTTTATTATTACAACAATAATGAACCTAATTAAAATTTACTTGTTTTAAAATATAAAATATTATATATAAAAAAATTGTTTTAAAATTGCAAATATAATATATGATATCTTTAATAAAAAATATATTATTGCTAAATCTTTGAAAACATGAGCATAAAAAATTCTATGAACTTTAAAAATAATCTAATATACTTGAAAAATATTATTTTAATAAGCTATTCAACTTACAAAAACAGATGGTCTCAAATAAAAGAAATATTTATGCAATCTATATTATTTTAATATAATATATAAAAAATATTTAATTTTAAAAAAAAAATCAAATAATAAGTCTAAAAATAATCAAAATCTTTAAAAATAGATATATTAATTTTATTATTTTACTATAATATAAAAAAACTTTTAAAAGTATTTATGAATAACTCTTTCTGTTAATTTGTTTAGTCTGAACTAGCTTAATGGACACTTTATATTTTTTAAGTAGTATAATCCTTTAATCAATAATATACAAAAATATGTTGGTTATTATATGAGAAGATCTGCAGATTATTTTGATATTTTCTCAAGTATCTTAATAAAGATAAGCTATTTCAACATAATTATGGAATATATACTGTATATATATATATATATATTAAACTTTTAAAAGTCTAATTTTAAAAACCATCAGAATAGAAAATATTTGTAAGATTAACAATATTCTTAGAGATTC